GAGCACAGCCATGTGCTGGAATATGTTATGATAATATGTTTAATATAGAAATCCCTGATGTGTTGACTGTGGTCTTTAGATGCTTACACAGGACTACACATAACAAGCTGTTTTTCTGAATTAGATGTAAAATAAGGTATTTTTAAGAATAATAAGCAGCAGCAATAACAGGAGAAGCCTTGCAGTGAAACACTAGAATTACAGTTGTTAGTCTGTAGTTACCTGCTACAAAAGCGTTCTGATTAAAAGTGAAGAGCATAACACTAAGGAAGAAGATGGAGAGGTTCAGGATGCTGCTTCCATCCTGCTATCAAATAATTAAAGTGGCCTAATGGACTGGTTTGGACAACTGAAGTCAGCAGTCTGCACTCTCTCACAATCACCCTGCAGCTGTTAAAGCCCTCTTATTCTGCCTATATGCCTGTACATATTGTATTTAGATGCTAATTTTCCTAACCCTGGCTCAGATAACGTGGAGCGAAAACGCTGAGCTCTATGTAAATGGCGCGCACTGAAAGAATGATAAAAAGAAAAATAGTGTCATAAAATGCATTGGATTTGAGTTTTAATTTGACTCAGCCGCATACAGCTACATTGGCTTTTTGCATAAGGATTACTCTCATGTGTATTGTAAGGTGCGTTGGATACTGAATAATAAATGCTAAACCACTGACTGATTTTAATTGGTTTTGTTGCCATTAACAAGATCAAGTTAATAAGGTCATTATATTCGGCAAGAGAAGAAAATAAATAAAATAAACCATACATTTTAACAGAGGGAAAACACTGTTCTTCATGATGTCATTTATATTCAAATACACCATAATGATACAAGGCTGTGAAAAAAACACTCACACTTTTTCCCACTTACTTTACATTCAGTGAGAGTATTTACATTGCCATGCATTATAAAAGAATTTTAGAAACCATAATCATCAATGATCCTTTTGTGGCTAATTCTTTTTGTTTGGTTAGTCCTCTATATGTGCATAGGTTTTGACTGAAAATATAAGAAATACTAATTCTCTATTTCAATAATTCTATTCTAATATTATATTCTACTGTAAAAACAGCTAAATAATGCCTGTTATCGCAGGAACCCTTTAGGCACCAGTTTACAGACTAAGAACAGACCAAATGTGGATCCTTAATATAAAATGAGATAGAAGACGTCCCCGTCACGTCCTCTGTCTCAGAGGCAGAGGCTGAGGATGCTGGGGCGGATACATCCATCTCCCTGGCTGAGGTCACCAAGGTGGTTGGTAGCCTCCATGGTGGCAAGGCTCCGGGTGTGGATGAGATCCGCCCTGATTATCTAAAGTCTCTGGATGTTGTAGGACTGTCTTGGCTGACACGTCTCTGCAACATCGCGTGGCGGTCGGGGGCGGTGCCAATGGAGTGGCAGACCGGGGTGGTGGTCCCTCTCTATAAGAAGGGGGACCGGAGGGTGTGTTCAAATTATCGTGGGATCACACTCCTCAGCCTCCCCGGTAAGGTCTACTCCAAGGTACTGGAGAGGAGGCTACGGCCGATGGTCGAATCTCGGATCCAGGAGGAGCAGTGTGGTTTTCGTCCCGGTCGCGGAACACTGGACCAGCTCTATACTCTCCATCGGATACTCGAGGGTTCATGGGAGTTCGCCCAACCTGTCCACATGTGCTTTGTGGATTTGGAGAAGGCGTTCGACTGTGTTCCCCGGGGTGTCCTTTGGGGGGTTCTCCGGGAGTACGGGGTCGGGGGTCCTCTGCTGAGGGCCATCCGGTCCCTGTATGACCGGAGCCAGAGCTGTGTTCGCATTGCCGGCAGTAAGTCAGACCTGTTCCCGGTGAATGTTGGCCTCCGACAGGGCTGCCCTTTGTCACCGGTTCTGTTCACTGTATTTATGGACAGAATATCTAGGCGCAGCCAGGGGTCGGAGGGGGTCCGGTTCGGGGACCACAGGATTTTATCTCTGCTGTTTGCGGACGATGTTGTCCTGTTGGCTCCAACGAACCAGGACCTGCAGCATTCACTGGGACGGTTTGCAGCCGAGTGTGAAGCGGCTGGGATGAGAATCAGCACCTCCAAATCTGAGGCCATGGTGCTCGACCGGAAAAAGGTGCCCTGCCCTCTTCAGGTGGGTGGAGAGGTCCTTCCTCAAGTGGAGGAGTTCAAGTATCTCGGGGTCTTGTTCACGAGTGAGGGAAGAATGGAGCGTGAGATTGACAGGCGGATCGGTGCAGCGTGCGCAGTGATGCGGTCGCTGTATCGGACCGTTGTGGTAAAAGAGGGAGCTGAGCCGAAAGGCAAAGCTCTCGATTTACCGGTCAATCTTCGTTCCCTCCCTCACCTATGGTCATGAGCTTTGGGTAATGACCGAAAGAACGAGATCGCGGATACAAGCGGTCGAAATGAGCTTCCTCCGCAGAGTGGCTGGGCGCTCCCTTAGAGATAGGGTGAGGAGCTCAGTCACACGGGAGGAGCTCGGAGTAGAGCCGCTGCTTCTCCACGTCGAGAGGAACCAGTTGAGGTGGCTCGGGCATCTGTTCCGGATGCCTCCTGGACGCCTCCCTGGGGAGGTGTTCCGGGCACGTCCCACCGGGAGGAGGCCCCGCGGAAGACCTAGGACACGCTGGAGGGAATATGTCTCTCAGCTGGCCTGGGAACGCCTTGGGGTCCCCCCGGACGAGCTGGAGGAAGTGTGTGTGGATAGGGAAGTCTGGGCGTCTCTGCTTAGACTGCTGCCCCCGCGACCCGGCAACGGATAAAGCGGAAGAAAATGGATGGATGGATGGATGGAGATAGAAGACAACTATAGTTGTTTGCATAAAACAAAACAAAAAAATTGTATGGGAAGCCAGGTTGCTGTATAGAAAAAGTTCTCATGATGAAATGCTGCTACTTTGGCACCTACAGGTTTAAAAGCTGAAAACAATTCTATATTCTACATTTAATTGATTCATATTGAAAGAATGCATGTATTTATTACTCTTATACCTCATGGCTTCTTTCTATTTTTGTTTTCCTTTCACCTATAAAGCTTTAGTCGACTTTAACCAATACTGGTTATTAATGGCCCAAAGTTGAACATCAACCTGGAACCTCTCCTTCGAATCAAAACACAGAACATTAGAAAATGAAAACATTAGTAAGCCGAGAGTTTTAGTCCTGGCTTCTGCGTTGATGTCTAATTTGGACGTGGTTGTCAGGACGAGCTCCGGAGGCTCTGCCAAACGGAGCTCCCTGTCCCGTTGGGGGAGAGAGGCTTTCATGTGGGGAGGACCATGAGCGCATCAGCCTGGTGGGAAACACTTTCAATCTTGACAATTAGTCAGTGCTGTCACCCGGTGAGATCCCACACTGTGACAAGTAACTACGGCACTTTTAATTGCACAAAAGCACATTTTTTGGGGGGAAGATAATTAATAATGTGCTGCTCTCATTTTTCAGGGTTAAATCATGTGTCCAGGAGCCAGACGCGTGTTAAAATGATCTAGAAACTGTCATACACGGGAAGAGGCCTTCAGATGTTTATATAATCCAGTGAAGAAAGCTTCCAAGTGTGATTTTTGTTTTGTTTTTCTGAACTCTACTCTTAAAGGTGGGAATGTTTTAAGTTAAAATTGAATGTGAGTATTTTTGTTTTCTTTCCTTACAGATTTGAAGTTCAGTTAAGTTTATTAAGTTTTAAACTTTTGCATTTCTAAAACTTAAAATCTGTCTTTTAAGTAAAATAAAAAAACCTATATGTTATGAATCTGAAAAAGCTAAACATTTTTGGGGAACATTTCTCAGAATTGTCTTGGTTTGAATGGGGCAGTCAAAATGATAGAGTTCATATTTGTGGGAGTCAACTATTTTCATATCTCTACAAATATCTCTTGTACATTAGGACGATCAATCTTCAGTCAGCTTTTCCTTGCTCATACATTGTTGATATTCCTCCATTACCATTACCTCTGACAGGCCAAGACACATGGTATTCAGAGATATCCTCTCTAATGATCAGCCATATGTCAGACGTGGAATCGTGGAAATGACTCTTTAACCACTTGTCCTGTAAATAACGTCCTGGGAGGTTACATAGAGGAGATTTATGTGTGTTTGAATGTTTATATTTTGAAAAATAAAACACAAATTCACATAATTTGAAAAATTGGCTGAACATAAAATACTGTGGAATGGAATGATGTTCAATGTTTCACCAAAAATGTTTGCAAACAACACCCATCAATAAGCAGAGCGACTAATGAGTTTACACGTGGGCCGACTGGCGTCATGACAGCGTGTGAAGACAGATGATGAGGACAAAATGCAAAGGTTGCAAACTCTACCAACTGTTAATCACATTGCTCCTGTGTCTGTCTCTGTGTTGGGCCCACTCTCCAAAGCTGAGCTGTGCCTCTTGTGGTGAGCAGAATGAAAAGAATGGAGTCGTCACTCATAATGGCTCTCTAAATAGCATTTTCTGCTTTATTAGTCATAGTTAATGATGTTGAAGGGGCTGAGAGTGATACAAAACCCTTTTGTTCGGAGCCTTCTCTCACACTGAACGCTCTGTGATCAAAAAAAGATTCCCTCACAATGAGGTTGAATATGTTTTACACGCTGGACTAACTTAACCTATTTTAGAGAGGGATTTGAACATGGTCTGCAAAAAGATTGATTGTACAAGACTGGGAATAAAATATGGCGACCGGATGCCAGACTGCAGACACCAGACAGCCTTGTTTATTCAAGACTCTCTGCTCCAATGCTGCTCCGTATCAAAAAGTGTCAACGCAAAATCTGCTCTTTGAGGATGTGGAGTCAAAAGAGCAACAATTATACTTTGCAATCAGACCTTGCCCTTGCTAGTTCTAATCAGGTACAGACACTGATTAGTTTGTATTTCTTACAGTTGAGTAAGATGCAAAAGCTTATATTACTTAAGTTGTTTTGCTGCCTGTATCAACTGAAAGTGATGCACCGTGCACACTAATACCTAAGAAGTTGTTCAAGGTGAGAGAAGTGTGTCTTACGTTGGATGTCGATGGTGACGCTGGTCTCCTTGCCGTTGGGGACTGCCTTGTTGGATGCTTTACAGATGATCTGTTGACCCGTCTCAATGTTTGTGGGAGATAAGTTGAGCGTGCTCACTGTGCTCTCCCGTCTGCCGTCCCTCAACAACGTCTGCAAAACAAACAACAGACCACATAAGTCCTGTGTCTTTGTTGGATAGACATGACGGATAGACAGTCAGGCTGTATCCTTGTTTAAAAGGAATCGCCTCCGAAGCTGCCCATAGATCTATACATAAATCACAATCAGACATACTGCAGACATCATTTCCTTTAATGTTCTATTTAGGAAATATGTTTTGAAGTGGTCAGTGCTTGGAAAAAAAATATTGCTAACAGCGTGAAGGAAGGCCATAACGTGGAAATGGCTGCAGCCTGAGCCACCCAGCCGCACTGAGTGGACTGATGTTGTAAAAAACATATGTATCATGAGGGAGATGACCTTTGCCCTCAGACTGAAAGAGGAATGATTTGAAGAAAACTGGGTGAGAGGGAAGTTATACATTTCTACTTAATATCAGGACGTAAACAAGGTTAGATGCTTCAACATGTTTTGGTACATGTTGCTCTATTTGTGTGCATTAAATCAAAAGTGAATTATAAGCAATTGTTCATTATATAAAATAATGATCAAATTTATATTATTAGTTTACTGTATCACAAATTTACAATGCAACATAAAACATTGTTGAACTGAATTACACTGCTAAATGTCTATTGTGTGTACTTGCAGATAATAGTAATTTCAAGAATCTCAAGAGTACTTAGTGCACGTATGGAGTAATGTTATGCAGATTTTTTATTTCTTTTTATGCATACCTTACTCTATTTTTACTTTTATAAATTGTTTGCACAGAGAACCAAATGAACTTCCTAGACTTCCTGTTACTCAATATAAAAACAAAAAATAAATCAGATTTTGAATTGTAGATACACTTTTGTTCTGATAAAACCAAATATCATTATTACCACGTTCTGTCCACGTTCTGTAGCTAGCTTAGGTCCTAGATCATTAGTCTGTCCGTCCGGAGGAGCGGATCCCTTTCTCATATGGGTCTCCCTCCCTGTGGGTTTCCCTAGTTCTCCTCCAAGGTTTCTCACTTTTTCCCACTGGGTTTTTTTAAGAGTTTTTCCTTGTCGATGCAGGAGGGTCTTGTTGGACAGTTAGTGTCCAACAGAAAGGATTGGTGATGATCAGGACACTTTAGCATTCTACAACATGTATGGACATTTTCTTCTGTGTGTGCTTTATACTGTATTCTTCATGTGTTTTAACTGTTGATTCTCTGACCTGTGTTGGTGATTTCAATGGTTTTGTTAAGTCCTCTGAGATGACTTCTGTTGTGACCTAGGGCTATACAAGAATAAATTGTATTGTATTGTATTGTATTGTATTACCAAGTGATATTCTAGTTAGTAATAAGATTGCTATGGTGGCAAAACAACTCAAAACTTATCTGAAGAAAAGGAAAAGATGGAACAAAGTCCATTGGATGAGCTTTGAAGGTGGTGTAAAATAGGAAAAAGACAGGAATTTCATGAATATAAACATGTTGTCCCCTGCGGCCAATGCCAGTGGCAAAGCACAGCAGATTGATTAAAAAAAGAGAAGGAATATGTTTTTGAGCTCCCTTTTGTGTGTCGGCAAGGCGCGCTCCAGTGCATGGCTTGTCATACTCCACAAAGGAAATCAATCTTCTTTTCAGCGCTCATCCTCTGAGCCCGACATTGTGGAAGTCATCTGGATTCTCCTGGTACGGAGCAGCGATGGGTGCTCTGGGAGGGCTGAGCTGCTACACGTGAAGCATTGCGAGACACAACTTAAGGCAGCCACTAGAACAAATAGTGTGGGCAACAAGGCACACCGCGGTCAGCCAGAGTCAAAATGCATTTCCAAGGAACATTTCCAAAACACGGTATCAGGCAAATCTAGGGAGCCGTTTTATCAAAGAAGCTATCTGATATTTGGGCAGGAAAAACTAGGAGATTTTATTTCTTATCTATTTAGTCTCTAGAGTTTGCTTCAAATTCATCTCAATTTTGAAACAATGGCAAGACAAAACACATTGTTTTTCTCTTTATTTTGCCTTTTACTTTTTTATGTAACCTACAATAGTTACACTCAGTGGTTTTTTAGAGAGTGGTTCTCTATTTTTAACTTTTTTTTGTGAAAAAGCCCATCTAAAGATGTGACAGAGGCCTAATCATACATGTTAAATGCATTTGAAAACCAATAAAACAATCAAACAGACAAGCAAGAGAAAAGAGGACCACCATCATTCAGTCAATCAAATCTCAGATACAGTAAATAGCAAAAATGCAAAATCTAATGTGTTTTATAGTAACATTAAGACAGTGTGGAGTGGTTGGCGTTTTACTTTTACTAAGACTCTTTCGGTTGGCACCATCTACATTACGAAAGAAATATTATGTTAGCTGAGATTTCATTTGTAAGGATAGATTCATTGGAAAACTGTGGACTATACAAGCATAATTTTTGTCATTTAAGAAACACAAAAAGAAATAAGTACTGCTCATTTAACAAACTATTTGACAACCTTAAAAGTCACGGTTTTAATTGTCATTTGAAGGTGCTGTTTTATAAGAGGTAATTGCTCTTGAATAAATCCCAGCGGACGTCATAGCCATTTCGACTTTCCACTTTTCAAGTCAAAACAGCGGTTCTATAGGTGACACTAACAAAAGAAAAAAAAAGTAATGGCTAGAATATATCTTTGAGCATGTACAATGGTATGATAAAAATATCCATAATAACCGGTCATTAATTCTTGCATAATTTAGAAGTGGGCTCATTGTCAGGATTCTAACCTGTGCAAATTATCTTCTCATTTTGTCACAATTATTTGCACTATCTCTGTGTGTTAAATATATATTTGCCTTCCCACATGAACGCTTTACAAAGTATGCAATTAATACAACTCAAAAAATACATCCCATAACGTTTGAATAGATGTTGGGCAATTGTCACCCTGCCTTATGGATGTAAAAGTGCAATCAAGAAGAAGAAGAAGAATAGATAAATAAATAAATAAATAAATACATAAATGCATAAATAAATAAAGAAATAGTAGAAGAAGAAGAAATAAATAGTAGAAAAATAATAATACATAATAGTAGAAAAATTATAATAATACATAATAGTAGAAAAAAAATAATAATAACAATGACAACTAAAATACTACTAATATAATAATAATGTAATTCCCATGCCTCTGAACAATGATTTCCCCCATCATTAAACAAATCAATTTAAAAATGTCTTGCTGAACAATTTAATCATCTATTTCTCCCATATCCCCTGAACGTATAATAAAAACTAACCAAATACATTGTCACTTGTGCTCTGTGAAGATATTACAGATGCTGCCCGTGTTTCTGTGAAGTTCATTTCCATGTGAGGCACCATGTGATGAAATTCATAGTTGTGCATGAGTCACTTCTAAAGCAGAAGGCATTAGCTGTCAGAGGCAGGATATGTCAATGTAATATCCCTTCTGACACAATCAGGATTGTTTCCCTCGTCGCTCTGGACCTGTCTCGAGTCATTAATCTTAGAAAAGAGGTTAGCTGCCTGGCACATTACATTCAACACCATGCTGCATTACAAATTGATAATTTTTCATATCCTTTCCCGGAGCCTGTGAGGAGATTTAACCACGCTCCGAGATGAATGTTTACGGTAACGAGGCTGAGATGGAAATGATCACCTTTTTACAGCTTTTAATAGTGCATTTGTCTGAGTCGAGCTTCTGTGAAATGAGACGAAGAAGTCTAATTGTGAAGGTTTGGTCTTCACTGTGTGTATGACAGTGACATGGACGAGCCAAACTGCAGAACCAAAGGACATGTGTGGCTTTCCTTCATGAAAATACAGCTTGAATGGTATTTATGATATGTACTGTATGCCCCACATTCTATCCTCCACATCAAATGAAATACATTAAAACCAATTCATTTCAAAACCATCCACTTTCTAACCACTTTATACTCAACAATATTTCAAGATAAAGGTAATTACAATGTTTGTATTTCTGATTAAATATAATTGAGACTAATGGCTCTTAAGATCTTTCAAGTGCAGCACTTGGCATGTCCTCTTAAAATACTGTTATTTGTTCTGTGTTTGTTTGATTATCACGGGACTTTTTTTAGTAATTGCACTCAACATCCATTAAGGAATAAAAGCTATCAAAAATAGAGCACATTTGTGGAGGTGAGGGAGAGGGGGACAATCTATTTGTCTGACTGAACATTGATATCAAATGTTTCCTCGACAATAGTAAAATAAGAGGTTCCTGTCTGCACTGGCACCTGAATGAACCAGCTCTGGTTTTATTGCAATGTGGCGATAATACAAATGAAATGTCCTCAGATTCAAACATTTGAATGCCTATTGATCAATACTAGAAGTCCCACAGCAGTCAAATTGACGGCTTTTAGTTTAGGAAGTGCAATTACTCAGCGTACGTACCTTTTTAGTTTTCATGACATTTTGACATTGTTTTTGTTTCTTTATGAAGAGACATTGTCCTTATTCTTATGAAATTTCCTTTTATTAATGAGAAGTGAAAAGCTTCCGGTCCAAAAGTTCAGCACTTTGAGTTGCCTTGTGTATGAATTGTGCTATACAAATAAAGTTGCCTTGCCTTGCCTTCTTTCTATGCCTTTTTTTTTCAAGGTGTTGGTCCTGAACTAGTTTTGGACTGGTCCTGGTTCAACTTGGTTTTCCACCAGAAAAGAGCAAGTGCTGGTTACCATAGCAACACATTGTTTACTGTCACCCGCTAGCATTTCCTCTTTAGCATTAGGCATTCACCAGTTTTATTACTGAGTGAGTAACGGTAAAAAAAAAAATAAATCTTATACATTACTTACTTTTTCTCAGAATGTTGCAGTCAGAATGATGGCTCTGGGAGTTCATAATTGTGGGTGTCCTATAGTGTTAATGGCTGCAATTATACTTTATAAAAATCTCCACACAAAAAAGTCTCTAGTACATTAGGATGATCCATTTTCACTCAGAGTTGCCTTGCTTATACATTGTTGATATTCCTCCATTACCATTACCCCTGACAGGCCATGACACATTTTATTCAGAGATATCCTCACTAATGATGAGCCATACATTAGACTTGGAATCATAGAGATATTGTAATAACTATCTCTTTAACCACTCGTCCTGTAAATAGCTTTCTGAGAGGTTACACAGAGGAGTTTTTGAAGACCACAGTCAAGAGTGATGCGTAGGTCACCAGTATTAGTCGCTGCATTTGACACCATCTAAATCCTCACAGGCACAGCTGCTCACATTAGTCCCGTCTCCGTCTGCGGGATATGAGAGGCCCATCAGAGCGGATGATTACGCTGAGAAAATGTGCCTCCGCTGCTCCTCGCACACCCAAAAAAAGTCATCTTCTTTTAATCAAGGCCATTGCTTTTTAATGGCAGGCAATAGAGATAAGAGGGTAGAGGGACATACTTGGGCCCAGTGCGGACATAGACGATCCATCAGCACACGAATGTCCTCATATCAGGAGGAAGTGGAAGTCAAAAATGCACTCTCCACCCACCATTAGCACGCAGCACCTCCAGCGATCATTTTTATTCAAATCGGGGCCTGGCTGGTGCTGAAAAACCCCCAACTCAATCAATGCTATTTATCTGGTGTGTGAGAAAAGCCGATAATGGGATGAGGCAGCTTGGGGAACGCGGGGAGGTGTTAGCTGGATGGCCAAAGTGCTGGGTCTCCTCATTGAGTTCAAATGGAAATGGAACATGACAGTGTTTGATTGCACGATTAGCACGCAGGGTGAGGGTCTATCGCAGGGTTAGGTGATCAGGGGCCGCTAATGATTGGGTTTGGCGACATGCATGGGAAGACGCTGTGTCACTTCTAATTATGCATTTGTTTCGTAGGCAGTGAGAGATAAGAAAGCTAGTTATTTTTTTGTCATACACTTGGGAATTCTGTAGAATCCAGGGCACATAAAGATAACTTAAGGTCCTTATATGATATGTTTTTTTTAATAACAGACAGACAAGGGCATGAGAATTGGTAACCATGGAGCAAACAAGAGCCAAAGTGAATTTCATTAAGCCAATAGTAATGAAGTACCTTTGCTTTAGTGTGACATTTTATAACACATTTCTTGGCTGATGCAAAACTATGACTAATATCTACGACAAATCAATGCCCAGAAAAAAGTTATATTGACAATCAACTCTTCTATTTTACGCTAATTGCTGTCAACATGGTTTTGAGCCTCATATTTTATATCTAGGCACCCTGCAGTGGAACCTCAATTCAACTAGTATTCGGGAAATTACCATAATCATTGATAGACATACAATCACAACACAAGTAAATCAAAAGTGTTTGCTTTGGGCTCTGTTTCTCATTCTCCACAATCAAATCACAGTGGAAAACCATTCCTTGCATCATCCAAATAAGAAACAAGTTCATTATAATTACAGAACACATATGAGTTATTGTTTATTGGACAGCTTGTTCAGAATCAATCAATAAACAACTTATGGATATTCCAATATTCCAGCCCACATGACCAAACCTATCAAATCTGCAAATTGCATGCAGATAGACGGATATGCGGGCTCCACCCCCCTGCAGATGGGCCCTTGGTCTACAAATCTGGAGCGACACACACCTCTGTGCTTACCTTGGAGTACATGGCCCCGTTGAGGACCTCCCCGTTACGAATCCAGATGATTGAAGCTGCTGGTTTGGCGTTGTCGGCGTGGCACGTTAGATTCAAATGGTCTCCAGCTCTCAGACTCACGACTGGACCGCCGCTGATCACCGGGTCTTCAGGGGGAACTGAGGAGAGAGAGAGACTTAATGTTAAAAATCAAATAAATGCAAATATTCCACATGCGTGTCCATTCACATGTAGTCATTAAATATTGAATGGGTGTGAACATTCATACATCCTCCACAGTTTATCCAAAATATCTTTTTGTCTCTAGCTTTGTGAACCTTTTTGCACAGGCTGTATAAGGACATTTGAGTGTGCTTATTTGAGGAAAAACACACTCATGTGGCATCAAAAACATTTGCAAATCATAGCATATTTTTCCTTATGTCCTGCTACTGTGGCAGTAGTAATAAGCTAAGGGTGCATTCACACTTGTTGACCTGGTTCACTTTGGGAAGACACGTGCACTACAAATATGTCAACGGAATTGAATCCAAGTGAGCCACAATTGGCAAACTTAAAGTGAACCAGACCAACAAGTGTGAATGCACCCCACTGAGACTGAGCAGTTTTACTTTGAGTTACCTTGGTTGGGCTGACTGAAACTAAACTGGGCTGAACTCATTTGAACACTGAACATATCTAATCAAGACTTCTGCCGAAATCCAAACTCCGGCCTTCAGGGTCACATCAATTTATTGCACTGGTCTATGATGTTTGAATAAGACTAAAATGGGCTATTTTAAGCATTGCTGCATTCACAAATTTCTTATCCTTTCTTTACACAACCTTTGCTTATACACATTGACTTTTGTTCCTGCGGTTCTCTCCTCCAAAGTTGCCCGCTGAAGTAAGCATCTCAACACGCCTGTAAAGCAACTGATCAAAGCTTTCCTCTGTCTTACACGAGCGCTGATGTATGTGTTTTTTCTCTTTTCCCTTTTATATAAATGCGGTGAATTATTGATTGACCTGGGTGCTCATTACAATGCAGATCTGGGGCAGATGAAAATCAAAGGCTTCATGGAGCTGCCATATTGCGCCGCATAAGTAAGATGGTGAGTTTGAGGTTGTAAGGGGTTGAGGAAACATATTTTATGCTTTTATTGATGTCAAGTAAACAGCGGTGTTATGGTGCAATTTGCTCCAAATAGCCATAGTTTGCCTGTTTTTTGAGTCCAATCATTCCCAGTGATTCACAGGCGGTGGCGAGTCAGTATCTCTCAGCTACCTTCCTCCCATAATAATACATAATAATTGAATGAAAGAGAGATGCCCACTTGAATATGCAACTGTAATACAAATTGAAACTTAAAAAAAAGAACAAACATGAAAACAATGCTTAATATTGAACAGCATTTTGACGGCCTGCTCTTGAGAGGCCATCAAATCTGTGTCCTTAAAACAAAAATCATTAATCCATAATATGATTATAAATATGTGCTAGTATTTTGAGCATCCCTCCAGTCAAACATGCAGCACTGTTGTTATGATGGGTCTCTCTGACAGAGATTGCCAAGGGCCATCGTCATTGATTTCCTGTCTGCATAATGTGCACGGCTGGAGCAGTAATTAAATGCCATAGGAGGTGTGAAGTTAACAAGTTGGGTTGTCACCATCAGTCAATGCAGTTTGTCAATTGAAGTTCATAAACTGACACTTAGAGGTCGCTTTGCCCATAATAATGAGGTAAGGTTAAATCACTATAGTTTTAAAACAAACCTGATTTGAAAAACATGGAATAAAACATTTTAGCTTCTCGGGGCAAGGGTAAGAACTTTCGATAGACCCATTTGGAGTGGCTCATACATCGCTAAGTTGCCCCCCTGACCTTCACCAGTCTCAAATGTCTACTTTCAACCTTTCAGCCTTGGGTTTCCTGTGACGGGCTTTCAGAGCATGCATTGCAAGAGGAATTTCTGATTTACAGGAGAGTAAGAGTACACTTCAGCTGGGGTCAGACCTCATGGTGCTCTGTCCCAGTGGACCTGCTATCAGATGAGGGAGTGATGGCTGACAAGAGCCTGCTCAGAGGGTTCACTGAATATAAAATGTTCAAACAAAATTGAAATATACATAATTAATATTAGGTTAACGTCTACAATGATGATGCTTAAAAGTGCATTGTGCATAACTGTATTTTTACTCATAATTTTATAACATAGGCAATGGAATGAAATCCAATCAGTCAAAATGTCGAGTTAAAAACGTTGGTGTGGAAGTTAAGAGCTTCTCACCTCAATCCACCTTGTTTCCGGTGTACAAAATGTCAACGGTGAGTAGTTCTTGCACAGCACTTGAAGTGGACATTGAGTGTGGTTCATACATTGAAATCATTTACCAATTAGACCTTTTAAAACTACTTCTTACATATGCCAATTCTGAACTAAATGTGGAAATGTAATGACTTAAATTGTGTTAAAAGCATCTTTGCTCCAACATTAAAACCTGCCCATGAACCATGTAATCTTGAAAATAAATGTCATTATGTCAGATATAGAATGTTCTCTCCCTTAACTGTCTTTGACACTTTCTTCTCAGAGACACAGGTATAACTCTTTTACCCAGGCCCTGAACTTGAATTAGCTATCATCATTACTGGGCTGTTTGCAAACTCGGCAGTCCCTAATGGTTCTAAATTAGCTCTTTACTGCAGCTATCCAATGGACTTGGCATGGGCAGTGTGGTCACTAGCCCAGATTGATCGTTCCCCTTTAATTACAGGATTGAGTCATTGCAAGAACTGATCTACAGGCCCTTTTTGGCAGAGATTTAATAATGTAATCTCCTTCAATATTTTAAGTCTCACATTAATGTCCATGACAAGGTATTCTTACCATCTTTTTCTTTTATGCTTTGTGGTTCTTGCTTTTTTATATTCATCCAGTCACATTTCATGTTTACTGTCCTCATCATGAATTTGCTTTGCTCCTAAATGGCCAGTGCTAAACCAGCTCCACGTTGGAAAACAATATGTGATGCCAGAAAGCCTAGACTTCAATGAGATCATTCACTTTTACAGCATAATCAAAGATTTCTATAAACAAAACCAAGTCGTATTGATGGGTAATTAAGCCGAGACGCCGTAAGTCTGTCAGCTTCAGGAGGGGTGGACTTAACTCAACTGCTCATAAAGCTGCCTTTTGTCTCAAGATTTCTCTCCCAACAAAGCTCATCCTGAACCACTTCAACACACAAAAAGCACTTATCATTAAAAAAAAAACAGCAACCCTAACCATGGACGCAGATATATGCCACTAGAGTTCAATGGTGTAGGTTTGGTTCCAATCTTGGTGGGGACATTCACTACGACCTGAGTCTACACCCATTGACACGGGGTCCAGAGTTTCTCCCCCAGAATTAGTTGTGTAATCACACACTATATTTGCAAAAGTGTGTTGCCTTCTATACTAAACTCAGCTGTAGACTGAATGAGAAGCAGTTATGTATGTTAACAGAAGATTAATCATCACAATTCATAATTTGCTATTACTTGTGCTTTCTCTTACTTACTTTCCAACTGTTAAAAAAGCTCCTGATATCTTTTATCTTTTTTTGTGGAGGTGGCATTTTTTCTAAATTATATAAGAAGGTATAGACAATCAAAAACAGACATTCATATACATGAACTGCAGAATCATTTATATAACTTGGCCAATGTCAAAAGTTACATAGTATTTCTCAATACAATGAGTTAACAAGAGTTTGGCAATAAGTAACAGTGTGGATTTTTCTATATTTTCTTTTTTTTATTCCACTCTCAACCCAAAAAGGCAAGTAATGACTCACAGGGCTCTCAAGTATGCAAAATAAAAACTTAAATGACCTGTTGTGGTGTGTTTTGCGCACAACCAGCATGCATCGTTAACGCAATGGAAAATTTAGGTATCCGAGCGTAAATTTCGGGAGCGCTGGTTGCGCTTTGGGAAGAGTCAGGGGAGAGACATGTCAGAGACACAGGGGAGAAACGGGGGAGATACGAGGGAGACCCGCACTTGCAACATGGTTCTGTCTGCATATGGTCCGAGCTCGGTACCATGTTAGAGCTGTGCTTTCACTGAGCGCCGCGGCTGTCATTACAAAGCGGCAGCAGCTGCACCAGGACGTGCACATTCGAGTGCATCGCTTGAATGTGCTTAGAGCAAATAACAGCAAGTGCCCGCTGTCACACATTTCACAGAAATCACATTATCAGCAGATAAAGGTTGTAAATCGTGGATCCGTGGAATATTTTCATCCCTAGTTTATCCTGATTCACACAACACGCCCACTTATACATTTTGGATAGTAAGAGCACAATAAGTATTTTTTCAGCCTTTCAACCAACCTGTTTCTTTATTGGAGCCAGTTCTGTTCTGTCTGTGCCGTGTGAGCTCCTCGGAACATTAAACAGTGCGCTGACAGATTAGAAATAACGTAAGTACTTTGAATGGTAATAGATCTACAGTACTTTCCTCTGATTACTCACGTGCTACAACGCTCAGGGAACAAAAAAAAACACTTGCTTCACGCTGGCTAACTTTTAAAAATTAAACAGTCGCTCAGTGCTTCAGTTTGGTGCTGAAGAAGACAGCCAATCACTGCAGAGAACGGAACGGGTCACGTGCTGCTGCTGCTGCTGTTGCTCTGGAGGCGAGGAGGAGGCGCGGCGTGTGCACAAACGGAAGACATGTGTCCCGGACCGTCCGGGTCACGGGACATCATGTCATTTTGGTGGGGACTTTTTAGTCCTCACCAAATATTGGTGGGGACATGTCCCCATGGTCCCCACGCAAACCTACGCCCTTGCTAGAGTTTCTCAAAGCCGTAGAGTTGCACTATTCAAATTGAAATATTTCTTTGCAGGCCAAATTAGAATTTTGAATCATAATCAGACCACTGCAATCTCCGCTTTAATTTGTCCCCACCGTGGGACGAATAAAGGTTCTCTCATCTTATCCAAGTGAATATGTATTTGAAATATGTATTTTTCATAATATGATGCTATGAGACTTTTGAATGAGAGCATTGGCACAAATGCCCTTATGTTTACAGGTATTTATTTGAGTCCTATTGCCCTAAATGGACTGTTAACAGTTTTTATTTTAAATGAAGGTAGAGTCTGTTCTTGATTTATGTTCCA